TTTTTTTTTTTTTTTTTGGTGTTAAAATTTTATTTTTAGGTGTTTTGATTCTACTGAAAATGAAGCAGTACTAAAACTTTTTTTGTTCCTTTTTTTTCAGTATTTGCCATCCATCCCATTCCTGTTTATCCTTAACATTACAAACAAGAAATCTTCGCTGTTACCATCATCATTTTCAGTTGAGCAAAATGGCTACAAAAAAAAAAAGTAATTTCCTTCTTTTTTGGACCAAACATATTAGTCGCTTAAACTTATTTTTGCAAAAATAATCAAGGGTTTAAATAATAAAAGCAATAAACAATATGTGGAAGAATAAAATGACAGATACGACAATGAAAACACTAAGATATTTTTTGATCTTTCAATTTAAATACGGGGGGATTAGTAATTTTTTTTGCTTGAATGATTTTGCTTTTGATTATAAATATTCTTAGCTAGTCGTCGAATTTGTTGCAGAGAACTTGGTGGCAAGCCACTGTTGAAAATATCTCCCACTAGACATAATTAATAACGCAAAATCTGTGTAATCAGTGTTAAACTAGCATATATTTGTTTTACAACTCCATCTATAATTACGATTATTAGATGACGATTTAACAAAGTGTTTACAAAAACGTCATTTTTAATCTCTGAAATGATGTCAACAACAAAGATTTGGGTCATTTAAAGTGAGAAGTTGAGAAGCAAAATTGCAACATGACATTTCAAAAAAAATTTTTTTCATTCTACGCTTTTCGTTTCTTTGCAAACTGCTGTTTAGCTTAACAAAGAAAGTTCCTGAAAAAGTTGAAAGAAAAAACGACAGATGTACATGATTGTTTGAAAAGCGAGAAAAATTTATTGCTGTCACGTCTAAAGCTTCAAAATACGGCTTCTCTTTTTCTTTAATATCAATTTTTACATTATCCATAGAAAAAGAAAACGACATATATTCTTTCGACATCTGTAAGGAAAAGTAACATCATCATTCTGCTCATCCCTTTTCACTTTGTAAAATTAATGTCTACTAACCGTTATTCTGCCAGGCAATCTTAAAGTATTGTTTCTTTAATCTGCAAGCGTTTTTTTAACAAAAAAAAAAAAGGTTGATTCCGCGTTAAAAGTCCAGAAATGCTTTAAGAACTGGTTGTACACTGACATATAGAACTCCGTCACCAAAAATGGCAAGTAAATGACTACTTTTCAACCAAGTCTGAGGTCTGTTTTGGTTCTTTCAGACAGACCGATACAATGCCGCTATTTTTGTTGTTAGTGTTATTGTTGTTGCTGTTGCTATCGGCTCTACGTTGACACTCATCCAACTGGACAAGGGCAAAGATAAAATGAAGGAAAGAAGGAATTAAGAATACAGTTAGTTGGTTTAAAACTTACAAAGATGCATCGTAAAAATATATGACCAGTGAACCAATGGAAAGCACAAAAACGAGCACCACTAAGACACGACCGGTCATACTTTGACCAGAAATCAGTTCGCCAGCCCAGTCTTTGGCCTCTGTCATCCATCCTAGTTGAGGCTCTTCCTTTTTCAGAGCCAAACCATTGAGATCAGTTTTTAGGTAATTGTGTTTACCATTTGCCTAGAAGTAAAAAGTGAAAGCAAAAAAAATTGAAAAATACAAGTTTTTCCAACACTCAGTAATCTGGTTTTGGTGAAAAAAAAAAACGATCTCCTGTGTTCTTTTTTCAATTTTCTTTCATCCTTCAGACAAATTTTTATCTCTTCCCTATCCTTTAGTGACAAACGGTACCCGATCGATGTCAAAAATGTTATAATTTGAATCAAAAAACTTCTGTTTTTGCGCTCGTATTCTTTCAAAAGAAAAAATGATAAAGTCAAAAGCGCTATGCAAGGTAAAAAAGGTTAAGAAAAAAACAATCCCCGGAGAACCTTAAAAAAAAATAATCCCCGAAGAACCTTAAAAAAAAACTTTTCTACTTTTGTTTATTGCCACTAATTCAGCTTCTCAGATAATTATCAAATTGTTGGCTTGTTACAGGTAAAAATAAACACTGATATAACCAAAAATTATAGAGCTATTTCCTAGCAAGCATTTCTTTACCCTCCATATTTCTCAAGTTTCATTTTTTTCTTTTTATTTATTACCTCCCAAAAAATTTGTTAACCCTTTTCCCGTCTTCAACATTTAAACCAACTTTTAAAATAAAGTTAGTTTTTTCAATTTTTACATCCCAAAAAAGATGATTGAGACGAGTAAGGGATTGCAAATATTCAGTATTAAATGTAGAAAAGCCTCATTCCTTTTATTATCTACTGACTTGGCAATATAAGAATTACAAAACCTAGAAGTATTTGTAAAAAAAAAAAAAAAAAAAAAGAAAGCTGTTTCTTCCAAGGATGTTTGGTTAGGCTTTGAAATTCCCATCAATAAAATCTCTAAAATTTTGTTATTTTTCAGTTGCATCTGCGTTACATTACGGGAAATCGACTACTGGCTGGTTGGCTGCCTCTGCGATCATTATAAATAATACTCCTAAACAACTGCTTTCGTTGCACCCAAAGGATTCTTTCTATTAATATAAAGTAGAAAAAAAATAATGAAAATGAAATACAAATTTCTTGTCTTTCTTCAGAAAAGCCTAACATAAGTTTTCTTTCAACATCCAGCTTTCCTCAACCAACTTTTTATTATTTGCAATAATAAGCATAACTTTTCTCTCTTTTTTTTTTTCTCTCCTCTTTGCCTTTGCTTCCTAAAAGAAACAGAAATAACAAAAACAAACTGGAAAAAAATGATAAAAGAAGGGAAAACTAAAAAGGAAAAGAAGAACTAAAAGAGCATATCAAAGGCAAAATTTGTAGCCAGACAGCAGTTTCTGAAATTTTTTTCGCAAATGAAGCAACCATAAACGACTGGACCAAAAATTTTGATCGTTCACAATAAACTTGTTATCTTAGCAACCTAGTATTCCTTTTCCACTGCCTTCCATCTTGCCAACACTTTGCTCAGCTTCCTTTTTTGCTTCCGAATGCGGTTCTTACTTACTAAAATCAAAAAGTGAAAATTAACGCCTGTATAAGTCAGGATCAGAAGTGATGAGACTTTAAATTTACTTTATTTTTCTTTTTATTCGGTCAGCGCAGAGCTGCTAATATAAGTCAGATCAACCAGTGAATCAGCCATTACAATTGCTTCATTTGTTAAGAAAAGTAAATAAAAAAAATTCCATCCGTCAATTTTTACAAACTTCTACATGATTATCCCTATAATTTAATGCTTCTTTTCATTCATTCTTTTTACATCAGTCAGCTAAACTAAATTTAGTGGTTAATCTACTGTGAAAAACAAGGTTACTGTAGCGTTTTAAAAACAAAAACAGCATGGATAAACATTTCCAATTAATTGTTTTAATGAATAAACAATGCAATAAACAAACCAAAATGATAAAATAAAATTGTCTTTCCCATCATCCCACATATTGAATTATCATTCAACAAAAAAACAGCAGTAACACGCTTTTTAAACCTCAATAATAGATCCTAACTACGTCACAGAAAAAAAAAAAGAAAAAAAAGAAAAAGGGACGGAGTGTTTCCCACTTTGCCTGACTTATTTAAAGATAACCTTATAATCAGATTACCAAGTGCGAGCTCCATAAAGAATAGAAGACAATGGCTTTTAAAAAGCACCACAATATGAAAAAAAAACACGTGATTCAGAAAGATAAGAAGGAAATATCTAACAAAAACTGACATCACGCAATTTTCAATATTTGGAATGTTTTTTTTTTTTTTTAAATGTCATCAACGTTATCGTCATCTTCAACAGCATCATCATTTTCTTCATAATCATAATTATCAATAATATTATTTTCAATTTCTTTGGCCTCTAAAAGCTTCTGTAAATAAGCAAACAATTTGACATAAAAGCTGTAAAAGTCTAAAACAAAGCTGTAGCAATTATGTTAACAGGAAAAAGAATAGCATTTTGCCTGTTGGTTAACTTCGTTTTTTTTTCTTCTTCAACAGACTATACTTAACGCAATTAAATCAACATTAAAAGCAATATAAAACATCAGACAGATTAGACTAACATAGGCAAAAATCAAATAAAAAAAATTATAAATGAATATTATTGCCCTATTTGGCTGCTAATGTACACTTTTGTTTTTGTTTTTGTTTTTGTTTTTGTTTTACTTAAATCAAAAAAGCAAATTTTAATACAAGAAAAAAAACCTATTTACCTGTTCCATAAATGTGTTGAAGTCATCGCGGCCGGAAGCTCCAAAAAAAAAGTGAGCAATAACCCTCCATATAACCACAATTAACATAGAAACACTAAATGTGAGGATGCTGAAAATTGAATCACAGTTAATGCAAAAATTTTTCACTATTATACCATAATTATTTGAAACTAAAAAATTGCTATATTAAAAATAAATTATTAATAATTACGGCATCTATTTTTAACATCCAAAAAATTACTGCATGCAAAATGCTTTTCTTTGAAATATTCCTTTCTTTCTGCTTAATATTCTTCAATTCTATTTTTTTTTTTTTCCATATCTGTCACCAATGTTTTTTTCCATACACTTAAAGTACATCAGCAAATTTATATTTAGATTAATGTTGCTACACCGGTTAA